AAGGGCTAAATAAAAAGGAACACTTTCTTTAAGAAGCAATCACTTTCTGGCCTGGCAGCATGTTACTTTTTTTGGTTAGGCCCGGCGCCCTATTAAAGGAACCCGCCAGCTCGGAGCCCCGAGGCAGTTTCTGTGTCACCCTGTGTTGACAAAGCGCCTGTCCTCACTGGCCAGACTGGTGTTTGCAAATTATTTTACTGCACACGCCACTTGTATGGGCTGGGGATTTTTTTACAACACAACAGGACTTTAGAGTGCTTCCCACGCTTACTCAGGGGACACAAACGCTGCACATCAAAACAATGGAGGTGGGTGGCGGAGGGAGGCTCTGGGGCCGCTGGGAGCAAATTATTTGAACTCAATAGAGTGGGTGGCCAGTGGACGCTTCCTTAAAACCGGGAAGGGTAAGCTGTGCATGGCCGGTTCATTGGGGTTTTCCGTCAACAAAAGGAAAGTGGGGATTCATCCATAGAATTTTTTGGAAATATGCTCGAAATAACGGGGTCGGCTGGGAAACTAATCCTGTTAGATAATGCACGTTTGGTTCAGGGGGGCCGGATAATATCCACATGTCTACCCTTTTATAATTTTCGTAATCAAAATCTAATCGATTAGGATTATCTGATCGGATAGCTATTTCAAGTAAAAAGCTCCTGGACAGGTAAAAAGTTTCCTGACTTCCAAATGTTACTTAGGTAGAAATACAAAGGATTTATCTGACTACATGATATTAAAATTAATCAAAAGGTAAATAGGTGATATGCAGAATGGCAGTATTATACAATTCTTATAATTAAAGATAGTTATTGTTTTTTATCATAATAAAAAAAAATAAATACATGAACATGAACGCATTTTATAGTTGTCTGTGTTTATTTTTGGGATGCCTAATTTGGAATGGCCTTGTTTTTATATAGGCTAAAAATAATTTTATGTTACTAGGCAATGATAAAGGGTGCCTATTTTCTGGCTTCATATTCAGCTTCATATTTGTGACAGTGTCTCTTGCTTTAAAGTCAAAAAGCTCTTTTATTTTTTCTCCATACTGCTGGCTGCAGCCACCTCTTTTTTTCACCACTGGTCTGAAACCAGATTTTCCAGTCTGGCCTCTGATTTGGGTTAGCTGGGCCGGGCTCTGCTTTTTTGAATTTGGCTTCAATCTCTTAGAGATGTCCCACCCCTAGCCTTATCACATTTCCATGTGGGGGTTGGGGAGCTAGCCAATTAGAAGCGCAGTGTTAGTTAGGTGGATGTCATTATGTTTAACAGAGTAAGCCGAAATTGTCCAATGCGAGGTGTTTCGTGGTGGGGGGGGTGTGAGAGAAAACATGGGAACATGGGATCGCGAACAAATTGCGACTTTAGCCTTTGACACACATTTTACATCAGGGGTGTGGAACCTTTTTTCCTCTCAAGGGGGCCATTTCAATTTTTCAACATCCTCGAGGGCCGTACAAATGATTTGACCTCTTGGCTTAAAAGTACTACAAATCACAGACCCATTCATTTCGCCTTTCCTTTCATGGCTGCTGCCAAAGAAAAAGCAACCTCTTAATCCAGAGGTGTGTGCAAATGGTTATTTTAGCTTTCCTATCCATAAGAGTTTTTTTTAAATGTTGAAAGCTTTAAGGCTCCATCTGGGGCTGCACTTTTGGAGCAACATTAAGAGATCTATGCGTATACATCTCTCAACACCCATAATCATATGAGGGACAGCCTGTAAGCAGATTTTCTTTTTCTTTATGGATTTTTTACATAATCACTCCCCTTTCAAACTGTATTCTGTGTTTATTTAATAACAACTTTTTTTTACTGTCATATAGTTATTTTATACCCGATTTACTTTTATTCTCTATTTTTTTATAACTATAATCGGATCATATAAAGATGTGGCCTTTACCTCACTGGTTGGAGAAAAAGGGCTTCTTTATATTCGTCTAGCCACCTGCTAGCTATAACCAGATGCCTAATAACAACAAGTTATTGGACTGTATGATCAGTAGAAAGAGGAACAGATCATCCACTGGGCTTACAACTAAAAACCCAAGCCACGCAAAACTGCGGCATGCTCTACAGCGCCTTCCCTTATTGAGGTTAGTGCTTGGGAAGTTGCTGAGCACTTTCTGGTGCTCTCCGTCAAACTGCCACCCTGTCAGACGAGACATATACCACGGATACACGTTTACTCTGTTGGTTTTCAAGGACCCTGACCTTGGGCCAGGGAAAAACAAGGCACTCGGGCTTTTTTAATTTGGTTTGAGGTCGTAATTTCTTATTGTTTTCTTTTTTTGCGTGTTTTGATAAATATACCTCGAGGGCCGTACCAAATGGTCTTGCGGGCCGTATACGGCCCGGGGGCCGGAGGTTCCCCACCCCTGATTTACATGCACACAAACCTATAGAACGCACGGGAAAGGGAAAACCCCCAAAAGCATATTGGGCCCCTATAAATAAATGTACTGTAGTAAAAAGTACAATATACCATATGCCACTAAAATGTAGTGGAGAAAAAATATAAAGTAGCATCAATTAAAAGAATACTTGAATAAAGTACAAGTATGTCAATATACTATTAAGATATTTTATATCCCTAACTATACCACTGTTATCAACAATGAAGATATGGTGCTGTGTTGTTATCATAACATATGACTGCACTGACCTCACCACTTTCAAAAAACGTACAAAAACTCACCTCTTCAATCTGGCTTTTAATGTGTGACTGCTTTTTTATTGCTTGATTTTAAATTTGACTTTAACTACATTTATTCGTTGTTATTTTTCTTTTCACTATCTATGTAAAGCAACTTTGAGCACCTGTAAAAGCGCTAACCAAATTAATCTATTATTATTATAACACATTTGATTTACTATTTAATATCGACTAATATCTTAGCATTTCCTGGTCATTAAGAGATTAACAACAGAGGGAAACTAGAGAGATATGCATGATGGGAAGCGCTGTTGCCTATCTACACTGAGCGGAAAAGACAAGTCATGTACCTGTGAAAGCCACCTGTCAGAGCGACTGTGGCGGCCGGCGTGACGCAGTGGACAGCTCCGTCAATAACGCGCCTCAGGGACCGGGCCTCGGCTGCACTGACAGCCCTGGAGATGTCTCCATGATGCAGGAAACCTGGAGGGAACACACCACATGGTTATTAGTCTGGAAGCCAGCCATCAATCATAGCCTGTTCCTCTGGAGAAGTGGAGAGTCAGGGTGAATTAAAAGTAAGGTAACGTGTGATCAGTTCTGAGGCTGAAAGAAGTCGACTAGCTGCTGCAGACACCAGAGCATTATCACAAATGCAGATGCTGAGATTGATAGATGGATTTCCATGTATCTGACTTTGTATTTTTTCTAGTAGTGTGCATAAAAAGTATATTTTTTCATATAACAACAATGAATATAACATCTGTTCACTTAAGTGCTTTATGATTTATTTGTACTGGCTTCTATCACTTATTTAGACTATTCAACTACTGTAACATACTCTGTAATAACTGTGCAATATATGCTTTTATTATCACTGCTGTTATCTGGCTGCTTTCACACTTCCATGCTACGCTTCTCTTATGAAAAAGAAAAAATATCGTTACTGTACTTATTGTTGTCCACCTAGATCAGGGGTGTGAAACTCCAATAAACAGTGGGCCAAAATAAAAAAATCGGTACCAGTCGAGGGCTGGACTGGTTCAATGTTTATTGAAAAACTTATTGAAATTAACTTATTGCACATATTAAACCTGGAACTAACAAAGCCTATAAAAAGAACTTTAAACATTAAATAATCAGTTGCATTCATTTTTTATGGCTCTATCTGCAGCTTTTCCAGAGTCATTTCTTATGATCACATTTTTCCACAGGCCAACAACTCTTCAAAAAAACTGAGGAAACCCTCAGGATTGAGTGAAGGTGTGCGTGCAATATACCGGCGGGCCAGATCTAATAGCAATTACAAATTATCCTGCGGGCCGAAATTAAATCCATCACGGGCCTGATTTGGCTCCCGGGCCTTGAGTTTGACACATGTGCTCTAGATGGAGGACAAGAGTTCATTGTAATTAATCTCTAATATTCATGCATGCCTGTTGATTAATATGTTGACTCTTTACTTTTGCTGTAACAATGTAAATGCCCCCTCTGTGGAAAAAATAACTCTGCTACTCTGATTCCGATTCCCTTGGAACAAACGGAGCTACACATTTTCAAAATACCGAATGACATGTCTGTCCGCTGTAAAATAAATGGTTTCTGCTCTTTTAAGATTTACAGAACACAGTGAGATCACATTTCCACTGTCAGATGTTGCATTATTCCTGTGGACGGAGCGGACACTGCAGTGCTCCAGATGATGGATTACGACCAGTTTGATGAAGATGTCTGTCAGCATAATACATCATCAGATGGAGTTTCAAACTGAATGGGAACCTGCGAGCGGTGTAATATAATGCTTTGAATTACCAGCTCATGCAGTGCTCCAGTATGTGCATCCTGAGCAGCAGAGAGGCATACAAATGAAAAGCTGCACATCAGTACTCCCTTTGAGACGTTAAATCACACACATGAAATGCTCTGTGGGGTTTCTATAACTGACAACAATTGCGGCTGATGTTATCTAATTGTCTGGATGCTCCTATTCCTTTTCGCTCAGACATTCCTTTCAGAGTAAAATCACTGCAGATACGCTCTAAACACTACTGGCTCTGTGCGGAGGCAACTTTCACAAAATGACCAAGGCCCAGGCGCCAGTAAATATATGTTATTAAATTAACATTAGCATTTATCAGATCTATCCATCCTTTAAAAAGTGTCTTACTTTATTATCAAATTAACTTGCTTACTAGCTTATTACTATAAAAAACTTGTCTCAATGAATGACACCTTTATGAGGGATCCATCCGATTTCTGGGATTTTTCGGTTTTTGTGTCCTTCAGCAGGATTCCTTTATTCAAACCTTTTGAACTACCAAACTTATAACTGTAGACTACACCTGTTAGAAAGTTGAAGCATAACTTAAGAAAAAATTACACAAAGATGTTTCTTTTTTCATGAACATTGAGTAATAAGGTATATATTCTCACTAATCGTAAAAATGAGTCCCGGACTGGGTAAATTCACGTGAGCAAGTCAGAACAAAATCTCAGGAACAGATATCATATGTTTAACATCACTTCCCTAAAACTGACTTGTTTTTTTATCCAAGTCATTACCGTTGGTTTTTAGCCGCACTGGCATAAGGATGGCAATTTCAGTCAAACCCTCACACTTTGGTCAGGACTGGAATACTCCAACACCTATTTATGAAAGAAAATTATTCTCCACACATATTGAGAAGCTTTATGAACGCTGACCTTTTCTCCAGCACCACCATAATATTAAAATGTGAGTGAAAAGTGTACACAGCTATTGGATGGATGCGGTACAGTGCAGACATTTTAAGTCTATTTTGGACAAATGTTAAGTAGACATAACAACCTTTGACCGAAATGAGTGAGCCTTATCTGCACTTGAACTGCACGTGGCAGGTATTGGTTCAAACTGAACTTGTCCGGACTTTGAATCCAATATCACACAGCGCACAAACCATAAACACTTCCAGGACTGTCACATGAAACCATTTGGCCCAAAAATAATCTGTCCCAGAGACTAACATTGAGAAAGCAGACGTTTCTTTTGAGGTAAATCAACTTAAATAGCCCTTCTTTTTTTTTTAAATCAAAAGGTCCTTAATGTTTTGAAAAGTTCTAATTGAAAAATTCAGTTATTTCTACGGTGGCCCTGAAGTGCAAGTCAAAACAACATTTCAAAAAACACTACAGCATTTCAGAAAACGTATGTTGTTACTTCGGCATCATTTTGAAACGTGTATTACAATTGAATCACGATTAGAGCGATGCGAATATTCGGGGCTTATATCCATGCAAATACTTCGGTAGATACCAACTACAATAAAAATAACATATTTTACCGTGATTTAATTGTAATACACGTTTCTAAATGATGCCGAAGTAACAACATACTGATACAGGTTGGTAAAAACCATGAATTAATGTTTTAACAAGTCTGCAGACGGCAGGCGAATTACCTTTTAAAATGCGTGTTTTCTGAATGGAGATCGGATTGATCAGGCTAAACTAACCTGTAGCTGCTCCGTCCACACTCACAACAACGGCATACAGACATAAATAAACCAGCGACTGTATTCACCATGACACAGACAGTCTGTGGTTTGTTCATGTTTAACTTTTGTCCAGNAAAGTTCAAACCTAGATGAGAACTGTTTCTGTTCAAAGTTGGTTGTTGTTTGACTACACAAAGTGTGTGTTCTGGTACGGACAAAGGTTCGTGGTGTAAGGACAAGTTCTCCTGGACCTGTGTTTCCTGGAATTGAATTTCTGTTTGTTATAAAGTTAGTTAACTGAAGACCGTAACTGGATGAGTAACCTGTTTAACGTAGGTTCCATGACCTAAGGGAACCCTCGGATCAAGTTGTCGGTCGTTCTCCTGGTATGCGACATTCCTTGGGATTGAGCTCCACCCAGTAGCATACCAGGTGACTCTTGTTTGTCTGTAGGTAAAGTCACCTATGCGGTCAGCCAGCCGACGGGACAACGAACGACGACATTTAGGTCATAGGTATTACATTGTTTCTTAAGGGTCAACGGTGTTGTTGTTTGTGCAATGGTTCCGTCGAGGTAGACGCTAAAAACGACAATACACCACTGTCCCGTGGCGACTTAGGTTCACGTGTCTGGACACTTCTGACCAACGGTCGAAGTGAACCAAATAACAGGAGTTTCCTTATACACAGAAGACAGGACCTTATCTCCAAACCTTAACCCACTTTTACATTGGGTGTCCAAGAGATTCGCGACCTGCCCTACCGTTGTGCTGACAAAGTTGGATTCTTGACGTTTAGTGCTATACAGACGAGGTTCTCCGACTCTGTATTTCATGTCGTTTCTGACTACTGAATTTTATTCCTTTTTATTTGTCTTTTTAATAATTCTTACTTTATGGTTGTGTATCTTGTGTGGTAAAATTAAAAAGTATCGAGGAAATAATAAATAACAATTAACAAAAACAAAGTATGATTTTGGTTAATCCCCGGCCACACATCCTCGGTAAAATACCCACAACAACCACAGAGTCAAATGGAATAAATATAAATATTTCGTTATGATAAAACTTGTGAACCACCGCCCCAAATCGATGTGGCCCACATATTTTCCCCAGTGTCCACTGTCCTTTCTACTCCTGTGTCCTGTGTCCTCCTTCTCGTGTGGCTAAGGTGGTCGAGCCGTTTACGAGTATGGTGTTGATAACTGTGTCACATTAATTTGGAACCATACATTTCGATTTATTTGTAGTAATATTTGACGTCTTTTTCTGACCTTTAGTAGACAAACACAGATGCAGACCTAGTGAGATTTGGGAGGACACTTCATTACCGTTTCTTATATCCTGTAACCTTGTCAATTTTAACGGTAATGTTAGAAACAATTCTGGATTGTTTTATTAAAGATGATTAATACTAAATAAATTTTCCCGTAACAATCGAGTGGGAGAGGTTTAAGTAAATCATACTGTCGTTAGGCGAACAACACAACAAGGCAATCCTATATCAAGTCCTCACAGCAGAAAGGTCGTGGATGTCTCTGTGTGTATCTTTGCTATTTCTCTATATTGTTTTACATAAGGTTAAATCCTTACGTGTATCTGACGTTAACAGATTTCGTTTTAACCGGTTTACAGTGTACTACGAACAACAACTATAATGGAGTCAAATGGTGTTCTCCGTCGTTATCATGGCTGAAACGGATTTGAACGTGGTCGAGTATCTACTGAAAATAAATGATTCCTAGTGTCAAGACTATGTTTGACCGCATCTCGTTGTCCACAGTATCAAAACGCTGTTGTATTATAAAAATTTATACGTAAGAAATGATCTCATAGTATTTGAACGCAATTACAACTTATTGTTACCCGACCAAACCGGTCAAAAAGATAAAACGAGGCTTCAACAACTTCACAGTTTGTTTTGTGACATACATATTGGAAGGTAAAGATAGACTTTATCATTAAGCACACGTTTTTTATTTATCGTTATAACAGTATGGACCATCATCGGTTAAAACAATAGTTGATCTACATAAGACTAACTGGAAAGACGCGTAGGAGGTGGACGTCGCGCCGGGAACCTCTTCAGCGAGTCTCGTACACTCAAGTTCCGTCCTCTCGACATGCTCACTCACCGACCTTTGATCTTGCCGACGAGACTACGAGACAGTTCATTTACAATGTCACTGATCTCAGATAAACCTCAAAAAAAATTTTAGTCTTTATTTTCTAACTTTGAAAAGAAGGAAAGCGGAAAGACAAGTTTATGTAAGTAGAGTCAAATCAGAGAACTACAGGCTGGAAAATTGTAATGTTGATAAATAGCTTGACGGTTCGATTAGCTCACGCATATTAGTCCCGACGGTTTAGTTGGACCCGCGATCAATTCCACGTGTGCCGGGGCCTTAGTATAACTTTTTTTTCGTCGTAAACGGTGGTTGTAACTCTCTCTTCTTCTCTCTTTCGTCTGTAGTCCTTTCTCTACTTACTCTCTCTCTAAAAAACGCTCAACGCATTCTTGACCATTCTAATCGTCCCAAAGGGTGTGTATCTGAAATGGAACCCGAACCTGGCGGGTCCATATAACATTGTCGCGGTAGCTGTGAAGACTGGTTGCCAGCTTCACTTGGTTTATTGTCCTCAAAGGAATATGTGTCTTCTGTCCTGGAATAGAGGTTTGGAATTGGGTGAAAATGTAACCCACAGGTTCTCTAAGCGCTGGACGGGATGGCAACACGACTGTTTCAACCTAAGAACTGCAAATCACGATATGTCTGCTCCAAGAGGCTGAGACATAAAGTACAGCAAAGACTGATGACTTAAAATAAGGAAAAATAAACAGAAAAATTATTAAGAATGAAATACCAACACATAGAACACACCATTTTAATTTTTCATAGCTCCTTTATTATTTATTGTTAATTGTTTTTGTTTCATACTAAAACCAATTAGGGGCCGGTGTGTAGGAGCCATTTTATGGGTGTTGTTGGTGTCTCAGTTTACCTTATTTATATTTATAAAGCAATACTATTTTGAACACTTGGTGGCGGGGTTTAGCTACACCGGGTGTATAAAAGGGGTCACAGGTGACAGGAAAGATGAGGACACAGGACACAGGAGGAAGAGCACACCGATTCCACCAGCTCGGCAAATGCTCATACCACAACTATTGACACAGTGTAATTAAACCTTGGTATGTAAAGCTAAATAAACATCATTATAAACTGCAGAAAAAGACTGGAAATCATCTGTTTGTGTCTACGTCTGGATCACTCTAAACCCTCCTGTGAAGTAATGGCAAAGAATATAGGACATTGGAACAGTTAAAATTGCCATTACAATCTTTGTTAAGACCTAACAAAATAATTTCTACTAATTATGATTTATTTAAAAGGGCATTGTTAGCTCACCCTCTCCAAATTCATTTAGTATGACAGCAATCCGCTTGTTGTGTTGTTCCGTTAGGATATAGTTCAGGAGTGTCGTCTTTCCAGCACCTACAGAGACACACATAGAAACGATAAAGAGATATAACAAAATGTATTCCAATTTAGGAATGCACATAGACTGCAATTGTCTAAAGCAAAATTGGCCAAATGTCCTCCAAATATCTATCGAACTGTGATCACTATGGAACATCACCATCCATTATATCGCATAATTATGTTTTATTGGCATATGCTTATTAAAATTATGTTCTGACATGCTGGAAATATCTATACACAGCAGGATCTCTGAATCAATCAATATGGCAAAAACATGATATATCACGAGACATAATATAAAATGTCGTGCCGTAGGACTGTGCTCTCACATTGTACATGTATGATGGTGCAACAGGTTAGGGTTTATAATGGGATGGGATTTTTGGTAAAATGTATCAAAATGTATTTGTTAAAATGGGTTTAAAATGTCTTACTCCTTCAACAATAAAAATACTTTCACCAAAACAAAACGAAAATGAAAATGGTGAGGAAGTGCGAAGCAAATTAATCATTAGGTTAAGAGAAACCCTGGTCCAGGACCAAGCGGATTTTGATTGTTATGAGGATGGACTGATAGGTTTTTAAGACACACCTTTTGCTAGCTTATTAAATCCGTGTCATACAGACAGTCTCTCACCGAGGTATCCTGAGATGATGGTGACAGGGATCTGCTCTCCAGGACCAAGCGTGGTGACGATGGGCACCAACTCTGGGCAGTCATCCTCCTCCTCTATCACCATGCCGTCCATACCAGAAGTTATGTTTGGATCTGTTGAATCAGCACGTTTTATAAATCACTGCATTGATAGGATTACACAAAAAACAGAGGAAACAATTATCTTTCAAAAATGACCATATACGTAAAAAAAAATGCATTGTGATAATAGTCTGATTGCATTTAGGAATGGTATCAAATATTCAACAAATAAAAAGACAAATGACCTGAAATCATTTCATAATGGATACAAATCTGTACACGTTTGAACAACACACACAACGTTAAGATAATATCAACTCTCTCGCCATATAATTAGCGGTTAGCATAAGAGTGTGTTTACTGATTAAGTACATCCAACGTGGACATAATTGCCTTTTATATGCGCCACGAGAGCAAAATGAGCCACCCTTCATTCATTTACAGAGGCAGTACACAACATTACCCGAAAGTTCTTGTTATAGATGAAGATGTTCAAAGTTGTATTCAAAATGCTCACTTCTGCAATGCTGTTGCTTTACGTTTTGACAGTGTGCGACACAATAGAAGCTCCGTCAACTCCTGAAGCTGCGGCAATGGTTCCGCTTTCATTCACAGCACTCGTGACCGCTCGTGACTCGAAACACTTCTGGATGTATATACGGACAAGCTTTTTACCGGACCAGAATAAGACTTTAAATAATAACATTGTATAAGTATAGTTATTACAAACAATTGCCGCTTGACAATCAATACGCATAGGTTTTGTTTCCCTTCGTCCCAGCTGCAGTTTCGCAGAGCAGATGGATGTTTTTGTAATGACAAGTATCTACCAGAAGAGGGCGACATAAACCCGTTTAGCAGATGTATAACTTTATAAAGGGAATACAGGCTACCAGAAATACCCTTACACTAACAACATAGTAATCCTGTAACACTTTTACGTTTGTTGACACTGTAGTAGTATTATTATTGTGTCACATCAATAGCCTTTGTCGTGTGTAACTATATATCCAAATATAGTACCACAGAACTGCTTCCTGTTTAAAGAACAGGGTAGCCTTCAGTATACCATGTACCAAAGAAAGTTAAAATAATTAAATCATTCTCTTACAATAATAGCGCAATACAGAGCATTATAATTATGTGCATGTCATTTACATCGTGGCTATTCCAAGAATGAAAACACTTCAGTTTCCCTGCTGAGGATGTTGTTGTTAAAGTTATATTCAGATCAAAAGGGCTGCACAATATCTATAAACATGTCTTATCTGCAGTGTGTGTAAATGTATTAATGTTTCATGTTAGCCTGACTCCATATAGCATAGTATACTGTATACTATCTTATTGTGCCATTATTTATGTTTGTTGGAAATTGTGAGCAAAAACCTTTCTCAGTAAAAAGGTTGAAATTAAATAAAGATAATTAAAAACAAATGAAAAAGCTATATATAAAACTAAACAAAGGGAACCCCAACCACAAGTACTTTGGCATACACAGAGGCATACATGTTACAATCCTATATAATTTAGCCATTAAATAATACCTACTTTTTTTAAAAGAAAAAAAACAGGAAAGTTCCTGAAAAAAGTTTTTTAACGAACAACATTACTGCTTACGAAAGACGTGAACATTACAGGTCTGTCACATTACACCCTTCAGTGATGATGCAAAAGATGTTGCAACAAAGGTAGTGCAATGCCTAAAGAGTCTAAGTGAAGGGCTCATAAGATACTTTTATTTTAAGAGTTAAAATTATTAACAGATTTATAATTCACTTTTGTTTCAACCTCTCACCTAAAAATCCCCAATCATACCTGTGGAGGAAGCTCTCAGCTCTTTTTTGTTGAAAAAGACATGTCAAGCCTGAATATCCAAGTCATCATGTTTACTTTTTCACAATTTTATTTGCCACCAAATACTAATGTTTTTTGAGCTGGTTCAACTTTAACTTGCAAAAAAACAACTGATACAGCGTCAACAGTAATATTGTCATCAATCAAAAGAGCTTCGACACATGTGACTTATTGTTGTTAGACCAAGGTTGCAGTCGAATAGTCCATTTAGCTAGGAACCTTCCTTAGGGAGTGAAATGACCCAGAAGTCCCTCAGTGGCAGCTATGATAAGTGCCGTTTGAATTCTCTAGATCAGTGGTTCTCAACCTTTTTACACCAAGTACCACCTGAGAAAATAGTTGGCTCTCCAAGTACACCATATCAATGTTAAAATACAGTGTATATGCACAGTGCATGCAGGACTCGGAGGCACATTTATTCATAATAACATTATTTATTGTCAGCTAGCTACATGTACAAAGGGCAGTCTCTCTCTCTCACTCTCTCTCTCACTTGTCATCACTCACTCACTCACACACCACAAGTGAGAATATAAAGAACAAAATAATAACTTATTCTCACACAACGAATGACAACCGTACATACATGTCATTTCCTATACCAAAGTTTGAATGTAGGCCTCCTGCAACAACGTACATCGTAACAGAAAATGTCCTATTGGGAATTCAGTTCCACAATAATAATGAAGCCTCCAGGAGCAGATGAGCCTAACGGCAAATAGCTCATCTTCAGTCTGCTGATGTTTGCTATTGCCATTTCTGTGGTGGCAAAGTAAAAAAATAAAAAAATAAAAATAAGAAAAAAGATAACAATTAAGGACAAGTGTGCTTTTTCAGCTTTTGACCNAACTGATACGGAAAGGGTATTCATTTAGGGAGAACACTTCTTGTTTGTGATTGGACGAAGCCAGCCAGAGAAGCTCTGCTGTGATTGGTTGTTTTTGCTGCCAGCAGCAAAAACAACCAATCACAGCAGAGCTTCTCTGGCTGGCTTCGTCCAATCACAAACAAGAAGTGTTCTCCCTAAATGAATACCCTTTCCGTATCAGTTTAAATGCTGTGTCGTTTTCTGAAATATTGTGGTGTTTTGTGAAATGTTGTTTTGACCTGCACTTCAGGGCCACCGTAATTTTCCATCCTCTGTTTATTTGAATGAACCCTTAAGGAAAATCTCAGTTTGCGGAAGATGCCCTGAAGAATAAGGCAATAAAGGATGATTCAACGCAAAAACGCTTGAAACACATCCCAAATCTCCCTTGTATCAGCCCCCTCTCCCGGTCTTTGCTCAGATGGCCCTCTCTGCCCAGCTGATTGATGAGCGCTCATGGGAATTCCACAGCAAGGGTCCCCTTCACAGTCACTGTTCATTGGTTTTTATTAAAAATACCCCTGCTGGCTGTTCCATTGTGATTTCACTATAAACTCCCTTCTTGTCACATCTCATCTCACTCTAGAGAAAACACATTACAGCTAGCACTTCACATAAGGAGTCTCATATGGGACAAAATGATTCCAAATGACACGCAAGGCCCCGTCTTTAAGTCTTTTTTTGGAAGCAAACACTAGTTGTCATTATCAACCTATCATTTGTGGAGTGGCAGAGCTTAAATTGCTGAGAGGTTGACGTACCACTTTGTTGCATCCGGTTCAGATGAATGCTGTGGTCTGTCAGAATGTCACTGAATGAGCGCAGCCCTCTGCAGAACCACTTCTCAGCCGTCTTCGGTCCAACCCCAAACACACTTGTGAACAGCTGGCAGGAAACGAGGTAAGGACGTAATCAAGAAGACATGCTCTGAAATGACTTCTCAGGGAGGGGGTTAGCATTCAAAAGTTTTGAAGAGCTTTATGTCCTTAAGAGATAGCAAATGCAAATCAGATTTCACTGCAAAGTACCAAAAAGCGGGGAAGTAAAAGAGTTGTTTTTCATCTACTGACCTTAAAAGTCTGATACCTTTCATCAGAGAGCAATTCCTCGACTTCAAACGAACGGCCACATTGGAGGACCTCCTGCGGAACATAAGAGTAGATTATATTAGGAAAAACGCTCTCGGTGTCACAGCATCAGCATGTTTTTTACCCTCGTTTCTGTTCCATCAGCAATTAAGAAATGGCCTCAAATTGCTGCTCATTTGAAAACGGTTCCAACTTGAAAAAGGTGCTTCTTGTGTGCTCATTTCCATTTCTTCTCAAGCGAGAACAGCTTTGTTGTTGAGAAACCGAGGATTTATGCCGTTTTTATGGAGTACATAAAAAACCAAGATAACGTTTTCCCCATCCTCTATTGTTGGGAACTTTTGTTACGTGTTTAATTGTTTGCCGCTCTGAGCAGAGCACTGCTAATTTTCCAGTCACACTTTAACTGTCTTCATTATGTGAACGCATAAAGCAGGGATGTCAAATACGGCTCACGGGCCAAAACTGGCCTGTCAGAGGCTTCTCAGGATGACTTTGCAAAGGGTAAATATTACAGACAAGACATTAACTTTAATTGTGTATTTTGTATCTATACATTTTATACAATCACAAGGCAGGGGGGATAACTGATCCTTCTTCCTTAACCCACTGGTGTGTCAGTTCAGGCGGTCAGGATTACTACACAGATATCGAAATTAATGTAAGATCATTATTAGATCTGGACAAGTTGTTTTGATCATAAAATAATATACTATATTGCTCAGTTCCAGATACCAGAGACTACATGCATTGTGCCTTTGTAAATACACTGTGTATACAATTGTTGAACTTGTTTTTCTTGAGAAATTTCAGGTTAATCTTAATGTTTTGTAAAAGGATAATTTATTCAATTTGAACAACAACAGAATGTTCTTTTTTGCACTAAAACAAAGGCAACAAATTGCAATGATTTAACTTGTTTGGCCCACTTGAGAGTACATTTGGAAGTATGTGGACACTGAACTAAAATGAGGTTGACACCCCTGGCATAAAGTGAGGTAGCGGTTATCAGCTATCTTCAGTTGGGGAAAGTGTAAAGATGTAGCATACATTTGTTTTATTTAAATGTGAAATTATTGCTTTCAGAAATTATTGCTTTCAAATTAGTTAACTTAATACACTTAATTAAAGTCAACGTTTGGGGTATATTTGTGTTTTACCAGCAGTATCAGTGTCCATTTTTAGCGTCTGCATGGAGGACTTCTGGTATAAATTAACCAGTGAACCTGAGACCCTCACTGTGAGTACAGTGCAGTTTAAAGCAGCCTTCACTGCTCGATGATGCATCCACCCGTCCACCACTGCATTTCAAGCCTCCGGCTAAGGCTAACCTCAAATGCAAGTATAAGGCTTGAACACACTCCCTGCCCGGGGGAGGACACACATCTTCACACACACACAGAAAACACATACTGACTATTCATCCCCAACTCTGCCTCAGTGCTCCCAGACTTTCACGTCAGTAGGTTTTATATCTTTTCTCCTCTATGGATGTTCAGTACGATTCTGTCGCTGCTGACGGTGTCACTCCGATGTTCACAGCCACATCAGGCGTTTTGTTTTTACTTTGTTTGGTTTCACGTTTTTTGTGTTGTGTCATTTTCTTGTTTTGAGCCACGATCTGTTCAAAGAGACATGTGGGTAAAGAAAAACTCATCGGCTGGGTCTAAGAACAACAACAGGGAGAGGTCATTCACAGGCAGTCACTTCAGTCTCTGGGGACATTTGTGCTGACAGATTTGACGGATTCGGAGACTCGCTCTGAGACTCTGTTAGGTTTAATGTGTCAGAAGTTGGAATGCACGGCTCACCTTGTTCTCCGGCAGGGACTCAGCGTTGTCTTTCCCTGACAACTTGCCATGATTTCTGCCCCGAGCACAACTGTAGGTGAGGGGATGATTGCTGAGTGACCCGATAAGACTTTTCCCCCCAAAGACGAGATAAATTGATGTGATGCCTGTCAGTGTGTGTGCTCATGTGTGATTGGTGTGTTTGTTAGTCTGTCTTGTACTTTACATTTCAAAATAGTGTTTGATATCTCTTTGAAAGATTGAATTTGTATCTGCCTTCAGTAACTTTTTTTCTGAAAGATGAGATTCCACTTCTGTGTCATCTGAAAGTTGCACATTGGTGTTGATAGATGACGAAAGATCCAGCTAAAACAATATGCTAAACATTTGAGAAACACTGAAGTGAAAGAAAGTCGGGATCGTGCTCCCTCACAGAGAAACTCAAAACATAAAGTCTGTCAAAAAATGAAGCTGTATTCAATTGGTGGTGATTATTTTTCAATCACTGATGATAGGGTTAAATGATAATGGAAGCATGCAATTCAGAGTTATGCTATCACTTCATTTACACTGTTCCGTCGCACGGACGATTTTAGCATTTGTATGATACATTTTTGTTGTATGTTTTAGGTGTTTTCCGTATTTCAACTGGCTCCCAATTCTCTCTTGGGGATACAAAAACGTTAGCTTGGATTCACCAGCTGTGCTGTGTTCCAGTTACAGTTTGCTGCAAAACCTTGTGCTACAAGTTTTTAATAAACAAATCTACATCGTTAGATCATCTGCATACATGTCAATATATTTGTAAATCCCAGTTTTATCTGTGTTTAATTGAAGAAAGTTCTGACATTGATTTGTTCAATGCACTTACTCAGTGTTTGAATTGGAGCATACTGTAGTCTCCTGGTGAAATGGTTATGTACATTTGTGTGTCGTCTGCATAGCTATGGTAACTTATTTAGTTGTTTTTCATTATCTGAGCCAGTGGTAGCATGTAGATGTTAAAGAGGAGAGGCCCCAAGATGGAGCCTTGAGGAACCCCACATCATATTTTTCAACTCAGATGTGTATTTACCTATAGAAACAACGTTTTTTCTGTCCTTTAAGTAGGATTCAAACCAATTTAGAACTGTTATGGGTTACTCAGTGGTTTTCAACCTGTGGTTGTGGTACGCGGAGGAATCTGAAATATAAAAAATATTTAAAAATTAAAATAAAAGATCTGGAGAAGGACCCAGAACCGGACTGAACCAGACCTCACCACTTCCCGGGGCCGTGGACAAAGTGCTCGCTGCGCCCTCTCTCCCCATTGGGGGAGGGACGGGGCCCCCTGTTTCCGGTGCGACTGCCAACCGGGGCGGAGTGTCCTCAGTGCGCTCCGACCTCGTCGTGCCGCCAGAGTGGGGATCGGCTCACGTAAAAGAGGTCAGCGGTCTGCGGCGATGTCGGCAACCCACCCGACCCGTCTTGAAACACGGGCCAAGGAGTATAACGCGCGTGCGAGTCAGAGGGTGCATTCAAAACTCCGTGGCGCAATGAAAGTGAGGGCCGGCACGCGACGGCTGAGGTGGGATCCCGGCCCGCACAGTCGGGGAGGGGGAGCGTGAGCGCGTGCGATAGGACCCGAAAGATGGTGAACTATGACTGGGTAGGGCGAATCCAGAGGAAATTCTGGTGGAGGCCCGTAGCGGTCCTGATGTGCAGATCGGTCAAATCGGTCCGGGTCAGAGAAGGCTGTGACCGAGGTTAAAAGCTGAAAAAGTAAACACTTGTCCTTAATTGTTATCTTTTTCTTTTCTTTTGTACTTTTCCACCACAGAAATGGCAATAGCAAACATCAGCAGACTGAAGATGAGCTATTAGCCCTTAGGCTCATCCGCTCCTAGAGGCTTTCATTATTATTATTATGGAACTGAATTCCCAATAGTAGATTTTCTGTTACAATGTACGTTGTTGCAGGAGGCCTACATTCAAACTTTGGTATAGGAAATGACATGTATGTACGGTTGTCATTCGTTGTGTGAGAATAAGTTATTATTTTGTTCTTTATATTTATATTCCTCACTTGGGTGGGGTGTGTGAGTGATTGAGTGAGTTTATATTCTCACTTGTGGTGTGTGAGTGAGTGAGTGATGAGTGAGAGAGAGAGAGAGAGAGAGAGAGAGAGAGAGAGAGAGAGAGAGAGAGAGAGAGAGAGAGAGAGACTGCCCTTTGTACACAATAAATAATGTTATTATGAATACATTTGCCTCTGAGTCCTGCATGAACTGCATAGACTGTATTTTAACATTGGTCTTATGGTGGTACTTGGAGAGCCATATATTTTCTCAGGTGGCACTTGGTGTAAAAAGGTTGAGAACCACTGCTCTATTGGCTTTCCCTTGAAGGCAACATGGTAAAATGCTCAAATAGGCTGTAGCCAGGATCATGGGATGAATGAATCTACGAGAGAACTAACTGGTTAACAGGTGAGTCATTTAGCAGGTTAGAGTATATATATATTTAGGAGTTAGTGGAGGTAAATAGAACTAAAGAGATGGTGAATATTGGACTTAATTCAAATGTGATTTTAAAACAGCGTATTTCAATATATCGATATTGTAAAAACTGAATTTCCCCTTCGGGGGATCAATAAAGGTCCATCTTCTTCTTCTTCTTTAACAATTCCTATGTAGAAAACAAACCTAACCCGAGCCCACTGGTTCTAAATGACGACATACATCTTTAAAACAATATTGACATGTTTTCATTTTTTTACTGTCAGTTCTGTCTTTAAAAATGTATGTTACATTAAATGACTATACTTTTGGCTTTGATTCTTTTAGCGAAGCATTACTGCTGACCATTTTCCAGTGCATTTCCATGAGTGTCCAGATTGATTTTCTCTTTTCAGGACAGCGACTGATTTTAGATCATTTCCCAAAAGACTGCAAATGAAGTTGAAAAAAAAAAAAAAAAAAGGAATCATAAAAATGAGTGGTGATTGAGGCAATCCATCACAGTAAACTTTGCATTATTTATCGTATGCACACAGAGACGGATTTGAAAGCTCTCCGTGTTTGGAAATGTGATTATGCTTCTGAAAACCTTTGCATTTCCAGGCTATAGAATCTAAATCAAACTGGAGTGCCAAACTCAATACTCTTGTTTCATGAGACCACGTAATACAGATGGATCGTTGTCATATTAACTGGACTCTTTTTGCAGACGGGGCCTTACCTCAATCACTTTCTTGGTGTGCTGCCCTAAGCAGGGCAGGTCCTGGGTAGCCCCCAGGCACCGCACCGCCCAGGGCAGACTCTTCAGAACAGACGTAGCTCTCCTGAAAGCCAGACATGGACCCTCCATGTTGTTGAATTCATAGCTCTCCGCCAGCACTTCAAAAGCATCCTACAAGAGGGGAAGAGGAAACATGTCCAATAGAATATCAGATCAGGAGCATCAAAAGACAAGCTTACTGCACCCATTAGGTTTGTGTACAGCCATTTAAATGGGAACTATTCATTCTTATCTTTACTATGTATTATTACTTTTGTCATAGGGTAAGTGTCAAGAAAGGCAGGATTGAAATGCTGGTCCAAAAAAAAAATTGAGGCAAGTATAACAAAAAGCATGCTTTAAATAGTCAAAGCTGGTCCACACAAAAAAAAAAGCTAAAAGAGCAGGCATTGTAAAATAAAAGGGAAAGTAGCAAAAACAGGGACAAATCAGGATGACTGGACGAAACACAAGGAGCAAAATCCACAGGTGGAAAATGCAGACACGAAACATGGACAAGAACCAGACAGCAGGGTGATAGGAATCAGTGTGAGGTAGAAATCACACAGGTGGGAAAACATAAAGACAGGAAGGAAAAACAGATGTAACCCAGGGGGGGAAAGCTTTTCAAGGTAAAACCAGAAACACACAGACAGAACATGGCAACTTGAGGTTGAGGAAAAAAACAATCTTGGATAGGTTTTGGAGAAAGATCGTAGTTTGGGTTAGATAACTGTAAAAGTGAAAGTCAGAACCCTAACCTCAAACCTAACATTGTGTACATAAAGATGGTTTTAACATGGATGCCAAAATCCATCCAACACGCCTAACGTTACCAGTTGTTATCGCTTCCATTAAAATGAGTCAGACAGGCCTATATGCTCCTACTGCTTTGTAAAACTGAAACCTAAAAATAATGTATGTATGTAATACGTAAAACTGAATGGCACTTAATGTGTTTAATACAAAGAAAGCAACTTCTTCAAACTGGAGCTACAGCACCAGACTGTGTTCACCTTTGCTCATAATTATCGCTAAGATATCCATCATGTTATTGTATTGCTGCTTTTGGTGCTCAACCATGTTAATCAGTGCTAAAATGTAGGCTAGTAGTAGTTGGACTAGGCCCCTTCTGACCCACAGGCCAATAACCGCTGATAGTCTTTTAAATCAGCTGATAACATTGCATGAATCCCCATTTTTGGATTAAACATCAAACCAAGGAAAGAGAGAGAAAACGCAGCGAAGAAAGTGAGAGCTCGCACAGATGGGTCAGGTGTACATTCACATGTGAGATGCACTGACCCGTACAGGACACCAGACAGGGAACAGAAGTCACTCCCCCCCCACACCTTCATCACTCTTCTCTGTCACTTTACAGCAGGACATGCTGCATGTTGGTTTCCTCCTGGATGACCAGACAAAGACATTAGAGGCTGGCAAACAGCAGACAGGAAGCTGTCATTTTCCACTTGTTCACAGCTGGCTCCTCGGGGGGGTCTATGGGCTTTCCCTTGAAGGCAACATAGTAAAATGCTCAAATAGGCTGTTGTCAGGATCATGGAATGAATGAATCTACGAGTGATTACACAACTCGGCGGCAAAGATCAGCCACTAACTGGTTAACGGGATGAGGAATGAAGCAGGTTAAGAGTATATATATATATATATTTAGGAGTGATCTAAAGTGATGGTGAATATTGGAATTAATTTAAATGTGATTTAAAAAAAAACGCATTTCAATTTATCAATATTGTGTTATTAGACTAGATATCGTCTTGGTTATTGTAATATGGCAGGACTGGTTTAAAGGATACACTACACTTAAGCAATGTGCTTTTCTTAGCTGTTCTAGGCGTTGTGTCATCGGTCATTGTCAACTAAATACATTTTATCTACATTACAGATCATTAATACAAATCTATAAATATTTCATAAAAGTTGAAAATGAGTCAACCATGCATGATGAAAATTGTAAATGCTGGTTAAAATAATTTCATATTTTGTGAATCTACATTTATAAAAGAATGGTGCTAATAGTGCTGCATTTTGGAGAATATATTTAGAAGTCAAGGATTATGCACAATCTTTAACTGTTCAAATTTCAGGTGAGTCACATTCTTGACCAGTGAGACTTTTAACTGCAGCCACTAAGTATATCATCAATTTATATCAACTAATCCTTTACCAGGCTTTAAAAACCTAAACGTTGTTAATTAAAGAACATATAGATTGTAATATCAGTTGGACTGAACATTACAGATCCGGTGTCTGATAGCATCTCAACAGAACAACCATAGTATCTCTATAAATACAGTACCTTCATGATCAGTTTGATAAAAGTTATATTTAACAGATTATGTGTGTTTCAGAAACATCATCTGATATAAACACCCACCATGGTCAGGACAGGATTTGACTGCCCCAAAACATTGCTAAATATAAAATTATTGGAACTTTTATCCTAGTGTGTAGATCATATGTTTGATACACACACAACAATCTCATAGCCCTGGCTAAATTCTACTGTCAGTGAAATTCTTCCTAAGCTAGCTAGCGACTGGTCATTGTCTGTATGAGTCATGAACATATATTTATCTGCAGTATTAGAAACAGACAATCATGGTAATGTAAATATAAATTACCATCACCCCGTGATGCTCCTACTCTAATTATAATTCCCTAGTCAGTGAAGACCTCACTCTGAACAGGTATATCACACAGCTGTCAATCATTATGTTGTTTTGAATAGCGTTAAAAAATAAATTACAGCCCAAAGATCCTGGACTTCTTGAAAGATATTCAAATGAAGATTAAACAGGTGCTAGGCATTACATTCACTCTGGATCCAGCCCTTTGTATACTTGGCAATACTGTATAGTGATCTGACGGATAGAAATATGATTATCTTGTAAAGGATTCTGCTTTTAATAGCAAAAGAAAACCCATAACAGCTTCCTGGTTGAAGCCGCAGAATGCAATGAAGAGGCAGGTTCGATCAAAGATGGCCAACATTAAAACAGGCAATGCCAGAGCTCTAGTCGCACCTCTTTATTAATATTTACTGTAAATATGATTTCCTTATTTTCCTTTTTATTATTTATTTTAGTTCACTGTACTTCATTTTATTTGGATAGTACCACACTGTTGTTTAGTCAATAAACAGGTAGTGAACGGTCATTTCATTTATGTTAAGGGTAGAAAAGTGAAATGTGATGATTTTGTTTATGTCATAGAAAAATTATAAATACCAGTTAAAAAGTCCTAATAGTTTGGATGAAAAACTGGAATGATTGAATCTAGTGTACAAGACGTATACATATGTCAGCATCTCCCCATGTAATTTGTACAGTGTAAAAAAAGCAAAGTAAAACATATAAATACATTTAAAACTAATCACAATAAAAGATTGATTTGCAATCTAGGCATTGTGCTTTGCAAATTGCCAAATGGTGGCACTATCTCCACAAAACCCTAATGAGTTATTTCACTTTAAGAGAATGAAACAAGAAAAAATACATCACCGTCACACTTTGTGATATTGGCTTGCAGCTGGATATTTGTGCTGAAGGGACAAGCTACTGTTGCAGAACCAAGTGAAAGGAAAAAATGTCACCACATGAGAGTTGGATCATCAATAGAGCCATTTATGAGCTAAACAGGTTATATCATTATGTGGGCTAAGAGACTGCTGTCTGAATGTCTCCGAGCTGCAGGTGGCATTTGTGCCTCAGAACTCCCATTATTTCTAATAGGCAGCACTTTTCTGAGAAATGAAGCTAGTTTTTATTGAAGCAAGATGGTTGAATTCTTTAAAGAGAAGTACCAGGTATGGTTCTCCTTTTAGCCACCTGCTAAAAAAAAAGAAGAAAAAAGCCAGAAAAAGTACAGAACAAATTTCAATGAAAAGTAACTAAACACAATTATCACTTTTTGCTCATTTAAAGAAAAATGTAACAGAAAATGCTAAAGTGTTGCTGCTTGAACATCCAGAGGGTATACTTCCTGCCAAAACCCCGAAACATTTTGGATTATGTGCACAATTAAATGCGGGTAATGTGATAATTGCATTTATGTGGTGTATATTTTCTCACGGCATCTCACTTTGTAGTTTTAATTGGTGTGATATTGGTGTGACAGACTATTTGACTTGTCATAGTAGGGAAAAGGTGACAACAATAGAACTGTTCTTTTCAAACGTCCGCTTCAACAATCCCTGTACCCAGAAACTAAAGCACATACATGGAAACAGGCATCGTTTGTTTCACTCTTACACCTGTGCTAATTCAATTGTTGTTTCTCAGTCTTACACCTGAGTGATGAGGTACTGATCAATACAAAGCAGCCTTCACATCAGCATCGTTTAGCATCTTACGCAAGCAACTACAAAAAGGAGCAATTTAGCTGTAAGCCCCATCAAGTTGCTTCTCAGAACAGTTAGGTGTTTGAAGCTGATTACCAGCAATCTATACAAACTATAGGGATTCATTTGATGTAACCAAGCAGCAACCTATGAGTCTGAAAAGTAAAGCCAAAGCAGAAGTGCCTTTAAACCTGAATTCTTTATTATGGTTAGCCGCAAAAAGTCAGATTGAATAGAAGTCTATGAGAAAAGAAGCACAGCGCAAATTCAATCAGAAATGTACATAACAACTTCTCTCTCTGACTCCCCCAACAATCATCGTTCTGCTGCCAAACTTTAAAAATGTTCTCTTCTCTCCTGCAGTCAGCTGTCATTTCAGGCATTAAGGGTTTCCTATTCTACCTACAGCTGCACCTCCACCTAAAGGAGGACAATATCACGATGGGTCAAATGCCAAAGACTTTTCCCATTTCCAAAATCACACTATACTATTGGTCGACTGCCTGTGATGATGAAGAGAGGAAGATGCAAGTCGCTCTCTAGTTTCTGTCTCTTTGTATTTTATCCAATGGACAAACTATAAATTTCACACGAACAATGGATTGACAAGACCTTTGTTTAGCGCTACTCCTAAATGACTCAAATTCAAAGGAGCTTTATTGAACTCTCAAACTATTGCCTATAGTGGACCGGGCAGTCAACAATTAAACCTCCTTACATGTAATTAAAGTACATTTTTCTGTTGTTTATATCGAACTTCTGGCTTACACATTGCATTTTAAAGAACACACAACTAAGAGTTTAGTATCTTATCTTAAAGGGCCCATGTCATGCTTTTCCGGTTAT